TCAGGGGCTGATCACAGCGGTCCAACAGATTCAAGCAGCTGATGACATCATATTGGAACCCTGTATTCTGCCATTCATTTATACCGAGTACTCTGTATTTCTTTTTCTGAAGCTGCCATATCATGGTTTCAGAAAGCTCAGTGGCGTAGATTTCTTCAAAATGAGGGCTCATGATTTTTGTGACTTCTCCATCTCCAGCACCTAAATCAAGAAGTCTATGGGTTTTCCAGTCCGGATTAATTTTAAGCAGTCTCTGAAATTGATCTGGTGAAAACACAAACATTGAGCCTCTTCCTAACAACCCATTGATAGATGTTCTAGACATAAACAGGCTAAAAACAGATGACACAAAAGAATGATATAATTGGATAAATAGCCAGCCCGATTTCTCAATGCTGTTGTTTAAGAAGATCTGTGTTCCTTGATCAAGGTAACTCTGAACAAAGACAGCCTGTAGTGATTCGCACAATTTCTCTCTGTTGCACACATACCACTGGTGGTTCTCCTTCCTGCCGCCCGCGGCCGCCACCGGCCCGCCGGGGCCGCTCGTCATGTTCACGTACAGGGAGCGGGTGAGCGGGCTCCGCAGCGTCCACATCCTCCGCGCCAGCCACACGGACGCCAGGCTCAGGCACAGCCAGTTCGCCAGCAGTCTCATCGGGGGCCGCGGCCGCTCGCTCCGATCACCGCCGGCGCCGGGGCGAGGAGGAGGAGGCGCCGCCGCCTCCGGCCGCCGCCGCCGCCTCCCGGGCTCGAGCCATTGCGCCCAACTTCAATTTCATAATTTCTATTATAATTCTTATTATTTCTTTTCTTGAGCTTATTTTGGATTTTTCTAGTTCCATAAGGTGGAAACTTACTTTTAGATTTTTCTTCTCATCTAACATAGGCTTTCAATACTACACATTTCCTTTTAAGCACTGCTTTCACTGCATTCTATAACTTTGATACATTGTTTTCATTGAGTTCCCTTCCAACCATTATAACATTATAACTGTCATTCATTTCACTTATGTGTGTATACAAGGGTGCCAAAAACGTATATGCACTTTCAGAAAGGAAAAAATTTTATTAAAATTGTAATAATATATATTGATAACAAAAGATGAATCTAAGCCACATTTGAGTACCTCTTGCAATTGTAGAAGTCAAATGTGACTTGAGTATTACAATCTGGCAAAGTCCAGTCTCCACTCCTGATAAAAAATTCCACTGACTTGGAAGAGTAAGGAACCTCCTCCAACTAATACATGCATCATTGAAAAACCTACACTTGGCTCAGCGCCTGTGGCTCAAGCAGCTACATACACCTGAGCTGGCAGGTTCGAATCCAGCCCAGACCCGCCAAAACAATGACAGCTGCAACCAAAAAATAGCCAAGCATTGTGGCAGGTGCCTGTAATCCCAGCTACTTGGGAGGCGGAGGCAGGAGACTCGCTTGAGCCCAGGAGTTGGAGGTTGCTATGAGCTGTGATGCCACTGCACTCTACCCAGGGTGACAGCTTGAGGCTCTGTCTCAAAAAAAAAAAAAAGAAAAAGAAAGAAAGAAAGAAAAACCTACACTTAATGCCATACTTAACCAGGAAAGACTGAATGCTTTTCCCTTAAGATCTGGAACATCTTTCTCTCACCACTATTATTCAGCATTGTACAAGATGTTATACAATGCAATTAGGCAACAAAAAGAATATTATTGATTTTGATTGGCTTAAATGGGGTTAACTATTTTGCTTCTATGTTTATGAGGGAGATTGTCTTGTAGTTCTCTTTTCTGTTAATATATTTGTATAATTTGTTATCAATATATTGCTGGCCACATAAAGTGAGTTTGGAAAAGCCCTTTCCTGATTTTTGGAAGAGTTTATATACAATTGGAATTTTTTGTATTTTACTTAAAATATTTGGTAGAACTCACCTGCAAAGTTATCTGCCTTACAGATGGAGTTTTCTTTTTCTTTTTGCTTATAACTCTGTATGTTCTGTCCAGTGTGTACTCATGTAACCATGACTATAATCAAGATACACAACAGTTCTTTCCCTTTCCCAAAAAATATAAATTATTTCATGCACCCCTTCTGTAGGGGTAGTTGCTGTTGGTGGTGATCTGTTATCCATCTTTGCATTCCATTCAATGACTTTTCCATTCATGTTTGAGAGACATTTAGGTTGTTTCAAGGTTTTAGACTACCATGAATAAAGTCTTTGATCATGTGTTGACATCATTTTCCTTGAGAATTGGTCAGCTTTTCCTATCTCTGATATATTGTGTAATTTTGGATTGCACATCAGATAATTTGGACATTATGCTGTGAAGCTCTGAGTCCTGTTAAAGTCTTCTAGAAATATTGATTTGGGAAGTTTGTTTTACTAAGCAATCAATTTGGTGAGGCTCAGATCACGAGTTCTGTCATGCCTTTAGGTGTAATGGTTCCAATATTTAGTTTTCAAGGCCTTTGCTGTGCCCTTTGGATATGTACATTACATGCAACACTCAGGAGCTATTCTGGGACCTTGGTGGTGCTTTTATTGTAGTTCATTTCTCAAAGCCTTCACTATGCGCCTCTGGGTAGTCCCTCCTTACTGAGGGGGATGAATTTTCAAGACCCCCAGTGGATGCCTGAAACTGTGGACAGTACCCTATATCTGCAGTTTCAGTATATGTGCACTGAGGCCATAACTTCTACAGTAAATTCAATAGCAAAACCAGCACAAATTTATTTTTCCTTCTTTACAATTTCATAGATAGGTTTGTTCTAACCATAGATCTTAGCAACCTTGGCATATGAATTTTTTCTTTCTTCACTAAGTCAAAAATTTTTGCCTTTCACTTAAAGAAGGAACATTACAAAGTCTCTTTAGCATATCTGAATTGCCAGCATCACTACTCTAGTGATTTTGGGCCATCATCAAGTAAAATAAGGGTCACTTTAACATAAGCACGGCAATACCACAGCAGGTGATCTGATAACCAAGCCGGCTACTCAGTGACTAGCAGGCAAGTAATGTTGACAGTGCAGCTATTCTGGACAAAGGGCTGATTCACATCCCAGGCAAGATGGAACTTACACTGTGCAAGATTCCATTGCACTATTCAGAACTGTGGGAAATTTAAAATTTATGTATGTGCATTTCTGGAATTTTCCATTTAATATTTTTTATTAAATTATAAACACATAGATCATGTACACATTAATGCATTTATGGGATACAATGTGCTGATTTCATATAGAATTAGGAACGTTTACATCACACTGGTTAATATATACCTCATCTCATTTACTTAATTATTGTGTTAAGAATTTTATACTCTACATTTAATAGATCCGACAGGTACCCTTGCATTATGCACTATAGGTGTGATCCCACCATTCACCCTCCCTTGATCTGACCTCCTCCCTCCTCCCTCTTTCATCATGGGCCATAGTTGTGATCTATTCTTCATTGAAAATGTGAGTTGTAAATTGGTTTCATAATAGTACTGAGTACATTGGATATTTTTTCTTCCATTCTTGAGATACTTTACTAAGTAGGATATGTTTCAGCTCCATCCATGTAAATGTAAAAAAGGTAAAGCCTCCAACTTTTTTAAGGCTGCATAATATTCCATGACATATATATATATATATA